GCAATATAATTTGTGCCACTGTGAGTCATCAGACGTAGATAGTTATCCTCTGTTTTGGCACATCTTGAGAAGTTTATTTATTATGTCTCATTCATGGCCTAGGAAGACAGTAGACCTCTCTATTGTTGTTTTTAGGTTGAAGATAGTTGCCATAGCACCTCTTGAGCAGGGAGTCACCACCACAATTCTTCTCTTTTTTCTTCCTTTGTCACTGGATGATGTCTTACTGGAGAGCCCCTGTGGATCTTGTTCCTTAAAGGATAAGCAGCTACTGCTTCTTCACAGCACTCTGATGGCTCTTCAAGAAGAGTTTCAGATTTGATTTAAAAAAAAAAAATCATAGTTGTACAATGTCTCTTTTTTTCCTTTCTTCCTCTGTATGGGACATTCTTCTATTCTCCAGCCTCCTTTTTCTCAACAATTTGTTTCATTGAAGTTCTGCTTCTGCTTGTTGGGCTTTTTTTTTTTTAAAAGAACAATTCATTAATCATGATAACCTGCAGGATAGTAAGGTATTCCTTGAGCCTCTTCACCTTTTACTAGGAGGGAGACCAGCCTACCCTTTGAACATAGGAAGCAGTTACTTGTCTGCAGCAGACATATAAACATCACACAGTCATTATGAGTCACTCCAAATTCCTCTCTGCTTTCTGTACTAATTGAGATTGTGAGCCTCACTTTTCACACGTTCAGTGGGTTTTTCCAACTCTCCTTCTACCCACTTAGTTCAGACCTTTCTAGACTTTTGTCACCAGGACAACTTGATGGCTTCACCTAGCTTCCTCTTCTTTCACTAACGTCCTATTTGTTTTATCTACTTACTCTTGCCTTAGCATCTGCCTTCTAAGACAGGGGTAGTAACATAGTAATTGTAAGACACTTTTACTATTTTTCTATCAGGAGATAAAGAGATAAATCTAACTTAACCAAGAAGGGAAAAAATGAAGGGGAACAAGATGGTCAAACTATTAGTTTGGCAGTTTCTGGAGGTAGGGTTTTTTTTTAATATATATTTTCAATATCATGTGGAATCCTTATGTGCAAGTATATAAAGAAGTCAAATGTAGAAAGTTACAAATAATAGACATTTATTTTAGAGACTATAATAAAACAAAAATGATAAATGGATAATCATCTAAATTCTCAAATTCTCTGAATTCCTTATGTTCATTGTTTCTTCCAACTGCCTATGCATAGACATACCAATTAGTGTATACTAAAGACCTCTGATATGTTTCTACCAGTCTGTAATGGATGATCTTTTACATTATAAGTAATTCAATTCAGTGAATATTAAGCTCTTACCATGTATGTGTGAGGCACTATGCTAAATGCTGGAAATGGAAACCAAGAAGGTAGCATGGTACAAGTGAAAGAATGGAATCTGCAGGCAGAGGAACTGATTTAAGTCCTGGTTTTGCCATTTACTATCTGTGTATCCTCAAACAAGTCACTTTACCTTTCTAGGTATCAGTTTCCTCCTCTGTAAAATGAAGGGATTGGACCAGATAACCCCTGAAATCCCTTGAGTCGTCTAAGGTCTCTTATCCTGTGATTCTAAAGATACAAACTGAAGTAAAGGTAGACTAAGTAAAGATACTCCAAACAAAAAGTTGGCTAAAAAAACAATTCATAGAAACAGGAAATTATGTTTGAGTGATAACAGTGAGATTTGCCTATCAAAATTTATGGGAAGCAGCTGAAGCAATCAGGGACATTTTTCTAACTTTTAAAACATTAACAGGATTAATGAATTTATCATAGTTTAAAATAAAAACAAATCACAATGTTAGCAAGTTAATCTCAAAAGAAGAACTTTTGAAAATTAAGTAAATAGAATTGGAATTCCAAAAGACTATTGAACTGATCAACAAGCTACTTTTTAAAGACTCAAAAAATCCATAAACCAATGACTGGTCGGTTGTTGTCCTTCATAATCAAAGAGGACCAACATGACATCACTGTTTTGGGGTCAGTGTATAGTGTGTCTGACTGTGACTGATCAGACCAATATGAGCTCAGAAGCCTCTACCATAGATAGGGCACAAATAGTCCATATGAACATTTGGAATGGAGATGTCACTAAATTTGCTCATTTCACGTTACTTTTGAGCTTTGTTCAATGCTGCTTTGCTCAGAGAGCACAGTGCCTTCTTTGATTCAGGCATGCTGTGCTGGGTAGTCCTGTGCCACTGTCTCCCATGTCTCACAGTCTGTTCTTCAGAGACACCTTGAGAATGTCCTTGTATTGCTTCTTCTGACTTCCATGTGAGCGCTTGCCTTGTGTGAGTTCTTTGTAAAATAATCTTTTAGGCAAATGTACATTTGGCATTCGAACAACAATGGCCAGGAGAAAAGAAAAAATATATTACCAGGACTTTTTAGTACTATTTAAAAATAGAAAAGATCAGTGGAATTATTGAGGCAAAGATGTAGAAGAAAATACAATCTCACTTTCAGTAAACCAAGAACACAAAGTACTTGGGAAAGGATTCTCTATTCAGTAAGAACTACTGGGAAAACTGGAAAACAGTATGGCAGCTATTAATGCTAAATACTGCAGGAAACTTCATATGTATGTGATCTAAATTTGACAGATTTCAAAAAAGAAAATACAAATAGATACCTTTAAGAAGTATAGTGAGGGACAGATTTCAAAATAAAACAAGTAATAGAGAAAGTCACAAAAGGCAACATAAACCATTTATATTATGTAAGATCTAGTAAACTTTTGAATAAACAAAAACTATGCAACTAGCAGAAAAGGAAACTGAGTAAAGCAAAACAAAACAGCATCAGATATATGAAAAGAAACCTAGCATATATCCATTATATACATATACATATATGTAGTATATGTGTGTATAGATACATTATATATGTGTTTATGTATACATATGCATATATATGTACACACACACACACTTAGATATATGAAATTGACAAATATAGAAGACCAAGAACCATTTTTCAATGGATAATGGCAGCTAGGTGGTACAATAGATAGTGTTCTGGGCCTGGATTCAAGAAGACTAAATTCACAATGCAGCCTCAGACACTTAATAGCTGTGTGATTCTGGGCAAATTACTTACTATCTCTGTTTCCCTCAGTTCCCTTAATTTAAATGAGGCTAATAATAGCACCTACCTCCCAGGGTTGTTGTGAAGATCAAATGAGAATCATTATAAAGTGCTTACTTAGCACATGGCAGGAATTATATAAATGCAATATTGTTATTATTATCATTATTATTAAAAGGATCCAGGGGATGAATAAAGACATTTTTGAAAGGAGAGTTGCAAACCATTAACAATTATATTTTTAAATGCTCCAGATCATTAATAACAAGAAAAATCCAAATCAAAACATCCCTGAAGTTTCACTTTATACCTATCAAGTTGGCAAAGATGAAAAAAGATAAGAACAGTATTAGAGGGTCTATAGGAAGATGGATATACTGATACACTATTGGAACTCTTAATTGGTCTAGTAATTCTGGAAAACAGATTGAAATTATATGAATTAAAGACTCTAAACTCTTTGTGCCTTTGATGCAGCTGTCCCCTACTGGGTTTGTAATAAACAAGATGGGGCCAAATATAGGAAGAAATGTCCCATATCCGTAGTAGTTTGGAGCAAGCAGCCTCCCCCCCAAGCCCTGGAAACAAAGGGAGTGCCTGTCAATTGGAGAATGTCCAAAGAAATTGCATTATGTGAATTTAATAGAACATTATTATATTGTATGATATGACTAATGAAGAGTTCAGAAAACTGAGAAGACTTATGAACTCATCCAAAGAGAAGGAATTAGAAGCAGGAAAACAATATACAGAGTGACTATGACTACAATAATGTAAATGAAAATGACATCAGAAGGCAGCTGAGCTAAAATGAAATATGTTGGCCAGTCCTAGCTCAAGAGGACAGATGATGAAATATACCATCCTCCTCTCTGTAGTGGGGTTGGTGGAGACTCTGGATACCAAAAGATGCCAAGGCTGTGTCAGACACTATATTGGTTGTTTTTTTCTTAACTGTTTTTCTTTGTTACAAGAGAGGGCTGTATGTAGAGTGAGGAGGAATGTTGGAAAATTACTGTGGTGAAAAACACACACAAAAAAAATCAATACAACTTAGAAAATAAAAAGTTTCCAAAATGTAGTTCCAGAAAACAAAGGTAGGATTTGGTCCACAGGCCATAGTTTGTAGACCCTGATCTAGAGTATTGTGTTAAGCTCTAGTTACCGTGTTTTGAAAAGAAAAAGGAAATAGGCATTTATTAAGTGCCTCCTATGTGCCTGTCTAGTGATATAAATACAAGCAAAAAGAAAAAGGCTCCTGCCCTCACTGAGCTTTTGTTCTGATGAGGGAAGACAAAGTACAAAAGGGAATAGAAAAATAAGGGAGTGGGGTTGTTGATAAGTAGCCTGGGAGAAGTGGTTTAGAAGTCTGGAAAATCAGGAGTAGGGCTGGAAGGGAATGAAGGCAGGGTGGCCTGGGACACCAAAATTACCAAAATGCAGGCAGCAGGAGGAATTCAGCAGTATTGAGAAGGCTGTAGGCCTGGTAAAGGGATATTCCAGAGTGGGAAGGGCACAAGGGCAGTTGGATGTTCCAGAGGGACATCACAGGTACTGAAGGAAATTCAAGGATGGGGAAAAGCTTGGTTTTGAAGCCTGGAAGTTTGTTGACAAGCTGGAAAGCATCAAAATCAATAAATGTCAAAACTAAAATAAGCTAACAAAACTCGTTATACTCTTACTTATATTTCAGATATCCCATTTGTAATTTGTGTAAAGGTTAACCTCTGGGGGGCACCTAGGTTGTGCAGTGGATAGAGCACTGGCCCTGAAGTCAGAAGGACCTGAGTTCAAATCTGGCCTCAGACACATAATGCTTACTAGCTATAACTCTGGGCAAGTCACTTAATCCCAATTGCCTAACCAAAAAAAAAAAAAACCTCTGTAAACTAACTCTTGTTTTTTATTTTGTGATGCAGGTAGCAATAAAAATCATAGATAAATCTCAGCTGGATGCAGTGAATCTAGAGAAAATCTACAGAGAAGTCCAAATAATGAAAATGTTAGACCACCCTCACATAATAAAACTCTACCAGGTATGATTTAAACTTTCCAGTTTCAGCTCTATGTTTTATTACAAAATTAATCTGTTAGTTTTTCCAACTGTAAAAGAAAAACTTTGCTGTTCAGCTGAGTAGGTGTGATATTGTACATTATTAGGATTATCTCTAAATGGAAAATGTTGAGAGAGTAAAAAACACTTATATTCTTCTACATCCAGATGGGACCTGAGGGTATTTTTATAAATTGAACTTGATATTTTTGGTGAACATGTCTAACCAATTAGGAATGTGGTAGCCTCACAAAACATTTTGGTAAGGTGTCCATGGTGTGGACATTTATTTTGTCAGCATTATAATACCTTGATAAAATTCTTCAGTTTATGTAGCTTATGACATGTGAGTTCATTATTTATTTTGTATAAAATCTGGAAATGGCTAAAGCTTGCATTTTATTTTAAATTATGTTATCAGATGTGCTTATTAAGATGTGTTTCTAAAAGGAAATATCTGCTTTTTCTTAAGAAAATGCACCCTTTAGGGGCAACTAGGTGGCACAGTGGAAAGAGCACTGGCCCTGAAGTCCGGAGGACCTGAGTTCAAATTCAGCCTGAGACCAAACACTTGACACTTACTAGCTGTGTGACCCTGGGCAAGTCACTTAACCCCAATTGCCTAAAAAAGAAGAAGAAAAAAAGGAAAAAAAAGAAAAACACAATCTTAATTTAAAAAAAAAGAAAGAAAATGCACCCTTTAGTGTCAAAAGATGATGTTATAATACATAACACTTTCAAGTTTTTAGTCATTGATATTTGGACTTTTTTGTATTTGAAAATTGTTTTCCACCTATGTATAATGATGTGTTAATATTATATCTGCTTTATTATAAAAAGGTGTACCCCTCAAACTATTATATATTCTCCATCTACAAAAATACATTATAAAAATCACATAATGTCAGAGCTGGAGAAGACCTTAAAGATCATGTAGTTCAATCCCACTGTCTTATAGATGAGAAAACTGAGGTGTAGAGATATAACATGGCTTGCCAAAGGTCTCACAGTTTACTAGTAAGTTGTGGAACCGGGATTCCAAGCTCTTAAGTAAAAGCTGTGATGGCGGACAATATCCAATATACGTAAGTCCAAAGTAAGAGAAAAGAAGGCCCAAATTCATGGCTACCAGGGAACTCTTGCTATGTTCAAGGAGTGACAGAAGCTTCCCTCGTTCAATTCTAGGAGATTCACTAATTCAGTTTAAGTCCTGAAAGATCTACTCTTGTTGCTTATTTCTACCTTTCTTGATCATCTATTATTGATAAGCTGGAGAATGTCCAAAGAATGACAACTAGAATGGTGAAGGGCCACAACTCATGCTAAGTGAGGACCAATTGAAGGACATGTGTAGGGTTGTAGGGTCTGGAGAAGGAAAGATCAAGGGAAGACATGAAATATCATGACATCACTTGAAGACAAAGATATCTTCAAGCATTTGAAGGGATATCGTATGAAGAGGAAATAAACTTGCTGTTTCACTCTAACTCAGAGTTAGCAGCAGTGGGTAGAAATTACAAAGGGGAAAATTTATACTTGATGTCTAGAAAAATTTCCATTCAGAAATGTAATGGACTGCCTCGAGAAGTGGTGAGTTTTCTCCCTTGTTAGAAGTCTTTGTGAAACTGGATAATTGCTTGTTGGGTATGATGTAATCAAGATTCTTTTTCAGATATGTGTTGGATTAGATGACTTCATGAGGTCCCTTCCAACTCTGAAATTATTTGATTCTTTTTATCTATAGGAAATAGGTGGAGGAGAACAAAGAAAGGTAAAGGGAGAAAGGTAAAGGTCTTTTTACCTAATGTTTTTGCATTTTGTGGAAGTGAAAACTCTTAGTATCTTTCAAAGGGTTAGTGCTTGCTTTCAGAGCAAAGAGACCTAGCAAGAAAAACTATTATTTTTCTATTTGAGCCGGGGGAGAGGAGGAAACTCGGTCTGAAGCAGCTGGTCCAACCTCCTGGCCTTCAAAAGAAAAAAGAAAAAGAAAGAAAAGAAAGTGAAAGGGAATCCATCCCAAGTGAAAAGTGTCCTTGGAGCACTTCATGCCAAGTGGAGACCAGTTTCCCTACACAGCTCCTCATCTTTGCTTACCATCTCTCAACATCCTTTCCATTCTTTCCTCACTCATGTCCTTGCTGCTGCCTCAAATCATGGAAACCACATGATGACTTAGAGTTTGAGAGTTGCAATCTTCTTGTTGGGGTTTGATTACAGGATAGGGCAGTGTAGGTGTGTTCCTGGCACTCCAAGTTGATATTCCAAATGTATTTCCTCCTGTAAACTTTATTATACATAGTGTGAAAGGTTTATAGGATATAGTACTCTACTTCAGGTACATTATGAATTAAATAAGTTTTTGTGGAATGGCCTGGGGCCCAACAACTCTTTAGGGCATTGTTCCTTTGGCAAAATGTGTTCCAAGGACCTAACAACCAACTTATGAATGAGCTTTTAGAATACAATCCTTTCAAAAATTGGAACTGCCTGTATTACCTTCCTGCAGAGTCTTGCTTTTCTTAGGCTATTTTTAAAGACGATAATTACAAGTAACTATTCAAATACTTTCAAGATTGTGGTGAAACTAAAGGCCAAAGTAAGGGCAGAAATTACCAGTGAGTCACACATATAATTTTATCTTAGTTGAACTGGAGAAGTTACAGTCCTGTTAGTGTCTGACTTGTTTAGGCCCAAATTGTAGGTAGCTTTTTCGTTGTTGTAGTCTGATTCTCGGAGGACTAAGCCAAAGTGACTTACATTTTACAGGAAAAATAATTTTCAACCTTTCAGCAGATAGCAGCAAAGTTGTAGTCTAAGTAATAAGCATAATAAAAGAATGAAGAGTGGTAAAAAGCATGTGTTTTACATCATGAATATGTACAAATCATCTTTCTAAATAGGCATAGCTCCAGAAGCCAAATTTTTATAATATGACTTTTCTTAAAATAATCATTATAGAAACACGAGCACCAGGACTACAGAGAAGAAGCTTTAGGGTGGTCTCCTTGAACTAAATACGGGTTAGGTATATAAAAGCAATATCACAACACACTGTTCAATCGGTGGGCATTTATCAAGTGCCTGCTGTGTGTCAGGCACTATTCTAGACGCTCAGTATACCAAGACAAAAATGAAACTGTTTCCTCCCTAGCTAGACTAACCATTTTACCATTTTCTTCCACTTTTCCCTTGGGATTCACCATGATGGCTTTTGTCAGTGGAAAAACAACAGAGACAATAGGTTGTTCAGTGTTGACTATGCCTTTTCTCATTAAGTCAGTAAGAGAATGTGCTACAAAATAGACATTCAGGACTTCTGGTATGTGCATTCTTCATAATACTGTAACATATCAAATGATCACATGCTTCATCATAGTCAGCTTTTCCATTCATAACTTTTTAAAAAGTAGTTTTAATTAGGAAGTCACATAGACTTTGATGTGGTCATTCCTCATTCTTTCCCATTAAATTAATATGGAATTCTTTATTAAATAGGTGATGGAGACCAAAAGCATGTTGTACCTTGTCACTGAATATGCCAAAAATGGAGAGATTTTTGGTAAGCTTCTTTACTTTTTTTTTTGTATGAAAAGTTTTCTGAACTGTATTGTTTGAGTAGAATACTGTTAATCAGATGCTTTGATGAATAGTTAACTTGTAAACCATGCATGTGTGTGGATTTTCAAAGAATTGGAATATAATAAAATGTACCAATCTTTCTTTAAGGATATAAAACACATTTTATTAGGCAGCTTCTTTGACCTGTGTTGCAGAGATTGTACCATTAAATACTGGAAACATTTTTTGAATTTACATGAAGTTGGGAGGATTTTTCTGCCCCACCCCTACAGGAGTGAAACAAAAAAGTTATGGCTTCAGGTGTTACATTTGTAGTTTTTGAGGTGAGAAATGGATACTTAGGTTGTATGTATTTTGTTCTAGAAGTTAAATAAATTCAAAAGTCTAAATTTTTTTGAAAGCTTAGGTATATAATTATAATTCTTTAAAGTCTTGCAAAGGACTTACATGCATTTTATAGATTGGAGACTGAGGTTCAAAGGGGTAGAAGTAATTTGTGTAAGGCAGATTTAACACCCTTGCCTCTGACTCAAAGGTCAACATTGCCGATTTTGCCCTCTCACTTCTGTACACTTCTGGTCTATTTTTAAAAATTTACTTTTAAAAGTTTAATAATAAATTTTCAACTCTGGTTGTGAGTATTTCACCTAACTTTCAGGAAATATAGCCTATCTAGCCTTCATCCCCTCCCTTGTTTCTTTTGTTAGAAGTTATTCTTTTTTTTTTAAGATTAATTTTCTTTTTGAGGCTTCTTAATAGTTTTTCTTTCATTCAGTAAACAGTTAATTGTATGTCTACTGTATTTATTATATCTGGGACCCTCTTACCTAGGTATTGTTGTCTTTGATACTGATATGATGATTATGTGATGAAAACCCGGTTATTGTTTCAGATTTGTTCTGGAATGGAAGGATTTCTCATAATAAATTCTTATGAAATGATAAGTTACATAAGTTCTGACATTTAATCAGGTAGCTTGAATCTTATGTTCTTAATAAGCTTTTAACAACTAGGAAGGATTCAATAAAGATATTTGGCTGTATTTTAAAGTGCAAGAGTATGATCTTCCAAGTTTTATATTTAGTTTGTACTTAACATGGAGACTTTTGATATTTTTTATCTCAAAACTCACCAAAAAGAAGGTAAGGTGTAATTACCTTGCAGATAGGGTGCTGGAGACTGGTGTTTCTTCATGTGACCTTTTGGTGTGGGTTTGGATTACATTCTTTTATATGAACCAAACTACAATTTGGGCATTAATGTATAAAAACTGATTTTTTCGTGTAAAATTTTTAGTGTGACAGTGAAGCTTAAATACAAAAAGAAGGATTTGATTTATAAAATGAAAACTTGAAGTATTTTACAAACAAGTGACCTGAACCTAACTAGTAAAAAAATGTTATTTTCAATTTTTTGTTGATGTAATTAAATTGAATAAGAGATTTGATACCATTCATACCTCTTTACTTTTACTTCTCAGTGAAACATGCTGCCTAGAGGATAGGTATTTGTTTGTTTTACCCCAAAAATATTTAGTTATCTTCTTCAGCCCAGGAAAGATGTAAACTTTTTTTTATTCTTTTAACAATTATACTTGTTTCTTTTTTAAAGTAGTAGCTCACATTTATGTAGTTCTTTACAGTTTATAAAGTATTTTTTCTCGTAAAACTGAAATATAGGCAGTATTAAGCTGTCATATGTAAGGTATTGTGATAGGTGAGATGAGTAAACCATAGCCTTGCTCTTGAACTTACAATCTATTTGGAGGATGAAGACATATACATATGGTAATATGTGGGGAGTAACTTTAGAGGGGTACATAGTGCTTTATGCAAGTTCAGAGAATGTAGAGATCTCTTCCAGCCCAGGGGATGAGGGAAAAGGCCATTGAAGAGGTTGATGTTTGATCCAGGGCTTGAAGAATGTGTAGGATTTTGATAGGTGGAGATGGTCAGGTGGCAACAGGTAAGGCTGATGCTTGAAAATTTGTTTTCATTTGTTTTGGCACAATCTCTACTCAATGAACAAGCTTTTCCCCTTCCCTTCTCAAATTCCTTCCCTTAAAAAACAGTTAGACCAAATTGTCTAATAGTGATTACATCTGACAATGCATGTAACTTTCCATTCTTACAATTTACATTTCTTAACAGAATGGAAGTGTATTTTGTGTTAGCCATATGGAACCGACATTACTCATTGTATTTGATCTAAATTCTGTTGGATTTTAATGTGTTCATTTTTGTTATTGTAGCAATTGTATAGACTCTTATCCTGGTTCTGCTTTCTTCACTTTTCATCAGTTCAGAAAATCTTCCCATCCTCTCAGTTCTTCATATTCTTTGTTACTTACAATGCAGTAATATTCAATAACATTTATGTACTATAACTTAGTCATTCTGTAGGTGATGGGCTCAGACTGTATTTCCTGCTTTTTCTTACCATAAATTGTATCAGTGTGAATATTTTGCTACATATATACCCTTTTTTCCTGTCATCGACTTTTGTGGGATATAAATCCAATTGAGAGATTTCTGGATCAAAGAATATGAATGATTTAGTCACTGTTACCACAAAATTTCCAATTGTTTTCTAGAGTTATTGGACAAATTCACAGGTCATCACTAGTATATTAAGGTGCCTATCTTCCTGTAGTACTTCCAACATTGATTGTTTCTCCCTTTTGCCATTTTTGCCATTATGATGGATATGAAGTGATTTCTAGGAATTCTTTTATTATACATTTCTCTTATTATTAGTGATTTGAGACCTGTTTTCATGAAGTCATTTAGAGCTTGCCATTCTTCAAATCACTAATCAGAGAAATAAATAAATGCAAATTAAAACAACTCCTAAAGTCCTCCCCTGGAAGAATGGGCAGATGAGAACGATTTGTTCCAATGGCTTTCCTGGCCAACTGAAGCAGGCACTATGGAGTTCACTTAGACATCAAAGAAGCTAAAGTCATCCATGATATTCCAGGCCATCACCAGTCATCCTGACTTTTGTCTTGCCACTGGACTTTGATAACTCTGGAAGAGAGAGTGAGCTGACAACTTTGTGCAACTCTACCTCACTTAAATGCAGTTCATGAGCGAGTCAAGATATCACCCCATGATGTCATTGGTCCTCTTCGAGAATGAAGGAAAAACAACATAATTTGAAATTTAGTAATACTAGGCGTCCTTCATTCACTCATACATTTTATATTTATATATAATATATATTTTATACTTAATATATACATTGCCATTTTAGATGGATTTGGGATATATATATATATACATATATACATACATATGTGTGTATGTATGTGTATGTGTGTGTGTGTGTGTGTGTGTGTGTGTGCGCGCGTGCGTGTATTTCCATCCATCCCACCTGGCTGCTCTCCCATACTTCATCATCTCCAGAAACCCCACATTCTGCAAGATGAAATCAACCAAGAAACTTGTACCTCCTCAGATCATTTCCCGCTGGGACTATAAGACTTCATTGTGGCCTGGCCCCCACAACATCCCCTCACACCCCTTGGGTAACCTCCTGCACCTGCTTTTCAGCTTTTTTTGTGTGTTGTCTCCCTCACTAGATTGTGAGCTCCTTGAGGGCAGGGACTATCTTATAGCTTTCTTTGTATCCGTAGCATTTAGCATGGTTCCTGGCACACAGAGGCACTTAGTAAATGTTTATTGACTGACTGACCCATATAATTTTGAGATATGGTGATGCTCGGGATCCTTTATTTCTCTTCTTTTTCTCTTTTCTTTTTCTATTGGAATTTTTCCTTTTTGTTTCTTTCTATGAATTTTCTTATTATTTTTCTAGCTTTATAAATATATATTTATATATGTGTGTGTGTGTATATATATATATATATATATTTGATATAGCCAGCAAATCTACTTATTAAATTAGGTATTGTTGACATTTTTGTTATAATGAAATTGTCTGGTCATAACATTATCTTTCTCAAGGACTTCATTTATTTCTGAATAGATTGTTATATTTGTATTTATAGATGTCCTTTAAATGGAATTTCTCCTTGTATTTTCCATCCTAGTTTTTGTTTGTAATATAGGAATAGAATGGAATAAGCATTTATGTGATGCCAGCTATATGCCAAGCACTGTGCTATGCACTTTTTGCAGACATCTCATTTCATCCTCACAACAGTCCTGTGAGGGAGGTACTAGTATCATCCCCATTTTATTGAGGCAAATGGGTTAAATGACTTTTCCAGGGCCACACAGCCAGTAAGTATCTGTGACCAATGTCTTCTGGATTCCAGGCCCAGCCCTCTATTCGGTGTGCCACCTAGCTGTTGGCTACCAAATCCACAATCCATAAAATTGTCATTTTCCTCATCTTTGCCAATCTGATGTAGCTTTGGAGTTGCTTTAAGTTGCATTTCTCTTGGTGATTTGGAGCATTTTTTCATAAGGTCATTTATAGCTTTTTTGAGAACTGTCTGTTCATATCCTTTGGTTGTGTTCTATCTTCTCTGCTAGAAACTACAGCGCAAGTCAGTTGGTAGGTGCCATAAGAGAGTTACAAGTAAACTGTTGTGAGACTGTGAGGAAGGAGAAACCATTTTTGAAGGGGATTGGAGTATGGGAAGGCTTTATAGAGAAGGTAGCATTTGAACTAGACTTTGAAGAATGAGTCGGATTTTAGGAGTTGGTGGTGATGTGATGATCAAAGGCTAAGAGGCTAGAAAGGATGAAGTGTAATTGAAGAACAGTAAGTGGTGTGTTTTGTTTGGCATGCAGCTCCATCGTGGCATGGAGGTGACTCTGAGTACTTGCAGGCCATGCCAGGGCAGCATCACTTTGTGTGTGGGTCTGGTGACATACTACATATATATTTTCCAAGGAAAACTGAGCTAAATTCAAAGAGCTTAATCACTAGGTTAGATATCCGGTGATGCATTTTCCAGCCTTTCTTGAAGAAAGCTTTTGAACCTTGTTGATGGGGAGAACTATTGAC